GTCTTAATAAGTCGATTGTGGTCTGAAGATGTGCTTGGTATGATTTCATTTCTCTTAAATTTGCTGAGGCTAGCTTTGTGGGCCAGCATGTGGTTGATTTCTGAGAATGTTCCATGTGTATCTGAGAAGAATGTGTATTCTGTTGTTTTTGGGTGGAATGCTCTGTAGATATCAATTATGTCCATCTGGTCTAATGTGTAATTTAGGGCCTGTATTTCCTTACTGATTCTCTGTCTGGATGATCTGTCCATTGGTGTAAGTGGGGTGTTAAGGTCCCCCATTATTATTGTGTTATTGTCAGTTTCCCCTTTTATGTCTATTAACAATTGCCTTATATATTGAGGTGCTCCTGTGTTGAGTGTATATATATTTACAACTGTTCTATCCTCTTCTTGGATTGATCCCTTAAGCAGTATGTAGTGCCCTTCTTTGTCTCTTGTAACAGTCTTTATTTTAAAATCTATTTTCTCTGATAGAAGTATTGCTACTTCAGCTTTCTTTTGCTTTCTGTTTGCATAGAATATCTTTTTCCATCCCCCTCACTTTTAACCTGCACGTGTCTCTAGCTCTGAAGTGGTTCTCTTGCAGACAGCATTTATATGGGTCTTGTTTTTGTGTCCATTCAGCCAGTCTGTGTCTTTTGTTTGGAGCACTTAATCCATTTACATTTAAGAAGATAGGTGTATTCATACTGCCATTTTGTTAATTGTTTTGAACTTGTTTTTATAGGTGTTTCTCTCTCTCTCTCTCTCTTCTTTTTGTTCTTGTTTCTTGTGCTTTGATGACTAGAGAAGGTCCTTTAATATTTCTTGTAAAGCTGGTTTGGAGGTGCTGAATTCTTTTAGCTTTTGTTTGTCTGTGAAACTTTTGATTTCTCCATCAAGTCTAAATGATAGCCTTGCTGGATAAAGTATTCTTGACTATAGGTATTTCCCTTTCATCACTTTAAATATATCATGCCCCTTCCTTCCAGCCTGAAGGATTTCTGCTGATAAATCAGCTGTTAACCTTAGGGGAGCTCCCTTGTATGTTATTTGTTGGTTTTGTCCTGCTGATTTTAATACTCTCTCTTCATCCTTAATTTTTGTGAATTTGGTTAGTATGTTCCTTGTTGTGTTCCTCTTTGGTTTGATCCTGTGTGGGACTCTCTGAGCTTCCTGGACTTGGCTGACTGTTTCCTTTCCTGTGTTAGGGAAGCTTTCATTTAGTATCTCTTTAAAATTTTTCTCAGGTCCTTTCTCCCTTTCTTCATTTTCTTGGACCTTTATAATGTGAATATTGCTATGATACACAGTGTCCCAGAGTTCTGTTAAAATTTTTTCATTTATTTCCATTCTTTTTTCTTTTTTCTGTTCTGCAATGGTGGTTTCCACTATTCTGTCTTCTAGTTCACTAATCCACTCTTCTGCCTTGTTTAGCCTATTATTGGTTCTTTCTAATGTGTTACTCATTTCAATAATTTTGTTCTTCAACTCTGTTTGGGTATTCTTTATATTTCCCAGCTCTTCGCTAAAAACTTCATTCTGTGCATCTATACTTTTCTTAAGTTTTCTGAACATCTTCACCATCATCATTTTAAACTGTTTCTCAGATAAGTTGCCTATTTCCTCATCACTTATTTCTTCTTTGATTTTACCTTGTGTGTTGTCCTGGAGGATATTCCTCTGCCACCTCATTTTGTCTATCTTTCTCTTTGTGTTTTTAGATGGGCTACTTACGATTTTCAAACTTGGAGAAGTGGCCCTCTGTGGGAGACGTCCTATGTGTCCCAGCAGTACACTTCTCTCTTGTCACGCAAGGGGCACTGTTGAGCTGGTCCCAGTGTAGGGTCTGGCCTGTGTTTGTGGATTCCTTCCATAAGCTTGGGGCAATTGTTTCCCTATTTCTGGTGTCTGCCCCTGGTGGATGAGGCTGGGCTGGAGGCATATGTAGATTTCCTGGCAGAAGGGGTTGGTGTCTGCCCACTGCTGGTGAAACTTGGCCTGGAACTCTTGTGGGTAGGGCCCTTCCTAGAGGCATTTGCTGCTCAGAACGTGTGCTGATGCGTGAGGCTGTGTTTCCACCCCGTGTGTTGTTTGGCCTGAGGGTTCCCAGCTCTTAAGCCTACAGGCTGTTGGGTGGGCCTGGGTCTTAGTGTCATTAATCCAATCAAGATGCCAGCGTCCAGGGAAGCTCATGTGGATGAACACTCCTGGAATGTCTGTCACCAGCTTCTGTGTCCCCAGGGTGAGCTGCAGCAGTCCCTTGACTCCCCAGGAGATCTTCCAAAACCAGCAGTCTGGTCTGGCCCAGGTTCCTATGCAATCATTGTCTCTGCCCCTGGACCTATTGCACATAAGATCCCGTGCATGCCTCCCAAGAGAGTTAAGTCTCTGTCTCTCTCAGCCCTGTGGGGCTCCTGAAGTTAAGCCCCACTGGCCTTCAAAACCAGAAGTCCTGGTGTCTTCTCCCA